GGGGCGGTAAGGGACCTAGATAATGGATAGGTGGGCGCTGGCCCAAAAAAGGTTGAGAACCACTGGTTTAGACCCTTTGAAACTCTTTACCGTAGGCTATTTTTTATTAAACTAAATCATACACTTTGTATGAGCATTTCAGAAACTGCAAATCTAAGAAAGCAGAAAAGAGCAGCTGCTTTTCGCCTCCAAACTTTACAGCTGATAAGCTACGATAAGTACGACTTCTAAGAAGTCACTAAGCATTTAGGTCGTCCCGGCTCTACCCTGGCTCATTTCTCCGCAAGGTGTCCTGAGGTGCTAGAGCAGCTGTGAACAAAGTCTGTCAGTGTATCAGTCTCCTATGTCATGCCAGACGCCACATCTTGCTCTGAGTATTGCAGGGATTCAGTCCAGGTGATTAATCTGAGCTCGTTAGCCACATGGCAGGCAGGTCGTAGCAGAATCTGGCCTGCTCACCGCCGTAGTGACTGAACACCCACCTACTCACACATATGCAGTTCTGTATTTCAGCACATATCAGTACTGTATTTACTAATAAACTTTACTGTATCTTTATATACAAGGTGGTATGGTTGTTTGCATGGCTGTCCATACACCAGCTTGTGTTGACAGAGTACACACTGTAGAAGCTTATCTCAGCTCGGCCCCATAGGAATGATGTCTTTTAAAGCAGGCTGGGAGTTTGAGGTGAAACTGATATGTGCTGCTACCTCGCTCTCCCTCACATCTACCGGGGGACTGCAACAGTAAATGATGGCATTAGGAAGGAGGGGAGGGGGCGGAGCAGATGAACTGCTTTCCTTCCTAGAGCGAGGGATGATACGTGGGCCAAGGCAGGAGGAGGAGGAGGAGAGTGGTGAAGCTGGACAGGTGCTGAGAGAGAGATATGTGCTTTTTTTCTCTGCTGCACAGGATATGGGGGGTGGAGAGAAAGGGAGAGAGAGAAAGAGAGAAAAAGGACAGGTGAAATATTTCCCCCTGTGGCAGTGGAAATAGGGGAAAGTGGATAGGGCCAGCTCTGTATTGAGAAATGGACTAAACCATTCCCTGAGGGGATGTTGAGACTCCCAGCCCCACAGGCCTCTCTCTAAATGTACCTACCAGTGATGGATAGTATCAACGTTTACCCCCTCTGCTTTTTCCTCACTCCTCAGCAGAGCTCAGGGAGGGCTGTTTGTGTGTGTCTGTGTGTTTTTGTGTGAGTGTGTGCAACCAGCATACCCCATGCCAGGCAATCCTGGCTTGCCTCCTCGACACTCCCAGGGAGTAGAAAACATATCCCCTGTAACAATCAATAGCTACCCCCAGCTCCCAGCCCCATCTGCAGTCCAAAGCAGTTCCTATCTCCAGTGGCCGCCACTACTATTAATTCTGTGCCCCACCGCTTCCTGCTTAGAGCCCGGTCCCTGAGATTAAAGAGCAACACAGCTACTGGAGTCCTTTGCTCACAGGAGGAGAAGGAGAAGGAGGAGGAGGAGGGGGAAAGGGGGCACAGTGTGAAGATTGTTTATCCAGAGGAATCTCCTCAGTACCAGCCTACAAATACTACTCATTTCCACTTCAGGGCCACATGGGGCTAACCTCATCTGACTCTTATCCGTGTCAATTAATTTGCAACAAATCAACATCTTTGTGATGCTTTCGGCTTCTTTTCCCCCAAAGAAAACAATTATAGCCAGCTGGGATGCAGTCAAAGAAGTAGTTAAAATACAACAATCTAATGCTCATGTGATCAGTCGATTTATCAGTCAGTTGATCAAAATTAATCTGGAAGAATTTTAGGAGTCTAGTAATTGTTGATGAGTCATTTATCAAACACAAATGCAACAAAAAAACTGGTAAGGAAACTGGTTCCCAGCTTCTCAAATGTGAGGATATGCTGCTTTTGTCTGTCTTGCTTGACTGTGAATGAAATCTCTGTGGGTTGGACAAAAGACACATCTGCACCTGATTGTGACTAAATGGGCTGTTTGTCTTTATTTCTCCCAACTTTCCTGAATTTTTTTTTCAATATTGCAATATGTTACTCTGATAAATTACTGCAAGCAAACATATGATGTGATCAATCAAAATAATGTCACCTGCTGAGCTGAATCAGACCTTTGATGTGTAACGTAGCACTGCTGCTTGCTAGATTTTTTTCATGAAGGTTAAAGGAATCGTTTGTTTTAATTACACTTCTAGCAAAGAGCTGGATTAGAAGAGTAATAACACATGTCTGTACTGCAAATATAAAGCTACAGCCAGCGGCTGGTTAGCTTAGCATAGCATTAACTGGCAGCAGTAACTGTCATTTTTACACGTTTTTTGTAAGGTTTTTAACAAACAAGATACTTTGTATTAATTATTGAGATTCAGAGGTGCTCTTAGGCAGATTGTATTGCAGCACAGAGCCAGGCTAACTGTTTCTACCTGTCTCCAGTCTTTGTGTTAAGTGTGCTAAGATAACCATCTCCTAGCCCCATTCATATAAACCAAACAGCCACGTCAGTATCGATCGATCGAATTAGTGTTATTTCATGCGAGGTCTCCACTGTAAAATGCTGTGCAAAATTGTCCGTTTTTGTTTGTTGGTATTTTTTACAGTTTAATTAATCATTATTTCGAGTAAAGGATTAATCAAAAATAGTCAGCTGTCAAGTGATAATGAAAAAAATGAATAGTTGTAGCCTTACATCAATCCCTTATTGACAGCGCAGACAGACATGCCTCAGGTAAGCTTCACTTGGCCTTGCTGTGGCAATGAGCATACTAACTTGAATTCTAAGAATTCTGTGATAAGAGAATATGGAGAAAGCTTCATCAGCAAACGTTTGGCATTTGTCTGCTGTAAGAAAATTAGATTTGTTCCATCAGGATGTGTTGAGGGACATTTCAGGTGCTGTTGTTTTTATTGTTTATCTCATTTGGGCATTGTTCCAATTTAACTGTGTCCCTGATCTTCTCATGTGTCTCACAGTGGGACTCAAAGTGAGAGTATCCGTTTCTCCAGGGCAAACACATGCTGCCTCTACTTTACTAGCTCTCTCCCTCCCTTAAACACACACGCATACACTCATACACACACTCTCTCACACACACACACACACACACACACACACACAAGTGAACACTTTTAGAAAAAAAAAAACACAAGAAACATGCACTGTACACACATAATCATGAACATACACAGACTCATTTTACCTCTGCAAACATCCAGTGACTTGCACTGCATGGATTAGCCCCATAAAGCATTCCTTTTGAAACTCAGCAAGTAGGGATTTCTTTTTAGGTGATCACTGGCCTAAGCAGCTGTTACACGCAGGATTAGCAGGTTCTGCCATTCAGACAACATGGTCTGTTTAAACTGACAGGGGGAAGAAAGTAGAGAAAGACAAGGAGGGGAAAGGAGAGGTTATGACAGGCAGGAGCAGAAATGATGCTGAGAGAGAGGGGAGGGAGGGAGAAAAGGAGGTGTGAAAAACTTGAAATAGGCAACAGATGACAAGAGAAGGGGAGTGAGCATGTGGAGCAGAAGGGATGAGAGGTGAAAGGAGCAGAGAAGAGCAGTAGAATTAGGATGTGTGAAGAGAAGTGTGAAGGGAAGGAGACGCATGGAGAGAAAAGAGGATAGACTGTGAGGAAAGGGGAGGAGAGGACAGGAGCGGACAGGAGAGGAGAGGCAGAAGCTTATCCAGTGTTGTGAGAAGTAGGACTCTGCCAAGAAGCAGCTTAAAAGGAGCTGACAATGAGAATATTGTTCCTCTTCTGTTTTTCATCCAGTTTGTTGTTTCTTGTTTTACTTCTATAATATCATCCTCCTCCTGTCTCTCCGAGTGTGAAAGCGTGTCATCCAGCCACCTTTTGTAATTGTGCTAGTACAAGGTGTTTGCAAAGAGGGTAGGTTGATGGGCTGATAACAGGCCTAGCTTTAGGGGTGGAAAGACATTTCCATTCTGGGCAGCTGGCTCACAATAGCATCTCTCTTGCTTCCCTTGTGTCTCTCACCTCTCTTACTTCCATTCTCTCACATACCTCATTTTGCATTTAGCGCTCCCTCCCGCTTTCTCTCCTTTTTTAGTGTGCATTGTAAATGGAGGAACACATCAGGGACCCCTGTTGTTATGAGCTATGTCTTCCCACGGCTGCTGTTTGTCGTTCCATTCCCCACTCACTTTTTCCCCTCCGCCTCTTCTCCTGTGTGTCTAGCAAGGTGTGCAACCGTGGTGTGGTAGCCAGGCAGCTTTCTCCGTTTGATGCATCGCGGCATATTTCACTGGAACAAGCCAGCGCTTCCTGGGAGCAGAACTCATGCCTCGTGTCAGCGCTCCTTCGCCTTGCACTCGCCACTTTCACTCATTACCCTTTTCCTCTTTCTGCTCTCCCCTGTGCCCCTCCTTCGCTTTCAGCCTATCCTGCTGGAAAGATAGGGAAATTGTACATTCAGACGTTCACACACACACACACACACACACACACACACACACACACACACACAGACACTATCTCATATATGCAGACACACAGCACAGACAAGTGCAGCCTTTCCAGTCACACGCCACACCACTACAATTTCTTCACATTTTCTAAAAGGAATTGTACACACACACACATGCATAAACACAAACACCCACACAATCTCACAGTCATATTCTGGCCCTTTATCCCTTCTTGGTAATCTGTTTACGGAGTGCTGGGCACATTTGAGGGGAATTTAATTGAAACCAGGGCTAATCTGATGATGGCATGGCGCGACAGAGCCCTCAGCTCTGCATCACCTCTAGTCAGGTTGCACCTTGTAGTTCTCTCACTCAATACCTTGCTACTTCATTTTATGCCTCACATTTCAATGCAGCGCTGCCCACTCATACGTACCACATTCATTGTTAATCCGACATTTGATATGCACCACGCTCACTGAATTCTGATCTTGTTTTTCTTGTTTGTGTCTTCCCTCCTCTTTTTTCCTCACTCCCCACCATTTACCCAACGCTTCCCTTGTCTCCTTCTTCCAGGATGGATATTACTCCCACAGGCCGAAGGAGAAAAGTAGAGTGGACAGCAACAATGAGAACTCTGTGCCCAAAGACTTTGAGAACATAGACAATAGTAACTTCGGTGCGCGCTCACAGCCACACCGGCAGTCTGTAGGGGCCACCATCGGCAAGCGGGAGAATCTGCAGGAGAAGGCCCACGCCCAGCAGCAGGCCTGGCGGGACAGCTCCCCAAGTCTGGGCCGCAGCTCAAACGAAGTGCTGCCTGTAGGCCACCAGCCGCTGGTAGTGGGCAACAATGCCTCCTACCCAGGTGGTCGGGGCATCGCAGGAGAGTCGCAGCAACACTACCATACCTCGCAGGCCCAGCAAGCACAGTCGCAGCACAGACATCAGCACCCACACAGGAGGCAGTCGACTGCAGCACCGCTGGAGGTGACTTACGACCAGCCACCTAAGTGTGAGATCAGTGGGAAGGAAGCCATTTCAGCTCTATCCAGAGCCAAGAGCAGGGAGTGCCGGCAACAGATTGCTGAAGTGTACTGCAGACACAAGGAAGGGCAGTTAATGCCCGAGAAGGTCACTCGCTACTGCCCCCTCGAGGGTGAGTCATTAATCATTGTAATTATTTGATTTTAGTTAATACAAATGGATATGTCTGTGATTCACTTTGTATTCTGCACAAAAATTGTCTAACTGAATGGGTCAATATCTATCAAGTTTCCCATCTTGGGGACATCTGATAGTTTAATTCCAAATGGTTGTGATATGTGAAACCATAATATTTCTTTACATTTTTATGGAATACTGAAATAAGCAACAATCAAGTTTAAGATCGGAAAAAAACATCCTAAGTTACTTTTTATTGTTAAGTGTAACACTCAAAAACGTTGTCTGCTTCATAAGGTATGTGTGGATTTGGTTCAGATTTCATTGAAACTGCTGGCAAAATGAGCAACACTCAAATGTTGCTAAACTGATTGGTGCCCGGAAATACATGGCATCACCTTTTCCCAACTTAGCCATGCCCACTTATAACCAGTAATACAGAAATCTCTGATGTGAAATAACCAGAACTATTCAAGAAAAGTTTCGGTTCATGTCGGACCTACATTGCTCATAGTAAGAATCTGCCTCACGTCGCAGTATAATTAGCTGTGCGATACCTAAATGTCAAGTGGACAAAGAAAGACACTGATGGCCTTTGCACACCAAGTGCATATATTTTGTCCTAAATTGTCACACAAATAAATACAACCTCACATTGTGTCAATCAAGTTTACATACCAGCTATGAAATCTTCATCTGTCATTAAAGTTTTCAGAAAAGGTTAAATTTTCTGCGTTTTTTTGCAGCCGTCAAAAGCAAAGTATCATTTGAGAAATCAGATCTACTCCTACAGCCTACCTAAAGCTATTTTGTCCATTTTGTCTTCTATTGTGATTTTTTGCAACAAATAGAATAATAAAAAACATTGGACTCGATGTGCAAGGTTTCTATGTATAACGATTTTTAGCGGATGAAAAAAACACAGAAGAAAAAAACTTGGTGTGCAAGGTATGGGCTAGAGGTTGAATTCCTGCTAAGGCCTGTCTGGCCAAACAACATTTATGTGAAAGCAGTGAAAATAGATGACGCTCTTAAGAGCTATTCACTACAGTGCTATTTAAAACAATTGTTCATCTCAAATCACTTTATAAAAACTACACAAATAGGTTAAAAATCAGGATATCAAGAAGCTAATAGATTTTTTGCTTGTATTGATTAAGTACAAAACACAAAGAAAAACTTCCTGGAAATAATGTTGACAGGTTGTCAATTGTCCTCATATAGTTTGACATTTAATCTTTTCACAGTATTTCTTCCTACTCTCTGCTGTTCAAGCTTTTTTCATATCAAAAAAAGAAAAATAATATCCGCAAAGCTAAGTACAAACAGCATAGTCTGACCAGTCAGTCTTTAGTACATGGTAAAATATTTCCTGTTCTTGTAATTGTAATTCTCGTCAAAGGCAAGAAATGTCGTTTTTTTTGCTGATGTGTAATTGGTGAAGTAAATTGTTGGAGAAAATGGGGATGCTGTTTGTATTCTCTCCAAATTGGTTTCCAATTTTCATTTGTTTTGTCAAGCTGGCCACAGACCACAGGTTCTTCTTCTCAAACAGACGCACACATTTTTTCTCTAAGAATTTATGGTTGTGGGTTCTGTAAACATAATTTGTTGCGGCTGCTGCCATCGGTGAGCAACCATGTTTAGCTAGTGAACAGCACATACACACACATGCATTTTTACTCATGAAGAATGGACTGAATGCAATATGAGCAGCAGGGGAGGAGGAGAAGGCTATTATACATCCTGCTTGTTCTAGTCAGATACCTTCCCTGGCCTGCGCTCATTTTATTAGAACTTGAGGAGGCACTGTGACTTAGCAACTTCTGTGCATTCCCCTTCCCAAGAGCAGGAGTATCGTTTCTCTGTGCCTAAGCTCCTGTCATCTCACACAGCAACTCACCATCCCACTCAAACTGACAGTTTGATCAAAGGAGACAAAGAAATTGAAAAGGGCTTTCCCCTGGTGGCTGAGCTGTAACAACACGACAGCTAAATTAAATCACTTTTCTTTCTTACTCGCCGTCTGCCTGCCTGCTGCCTGCCAACGTGTTATCTCCCCTTTTCTCTCTCTCTGCCCCCCCCCCTTCTCTGTTCCCCATTCCAATTCAAGTCCTAACCTTGTTAGCTGAAAATTGTCCAATTTGATTTGATCGGCATTCTGTCCTTGAGGCCTTGGCTAGATTAGCAATTGTGTTAGCTCTGGTATTAGCATCATTGAATACAGGGAGAACATGTTCAATCTCTTTGCCTCCCATATGCTAACTTGGCTAATAATGATATGATTGGGCTGCATTGCTCCAGCAGCTGGCAGTCAGTAACCTTGCACCTATGTAGCTTCAACCTAGTGGTCTTGTACTAACAAGGATTTGTGTATACATAAATCGTACATAAAGCTGCTATAATCACTATATTTATAACAGAAATTAATCAAATGAGTAGTTGTAATGTGAGCAGTCGCTCGAAGTGACAAACCCATAGAGAATTAACTCTGAGAACCCAACTCTGAAGTTTTCCTCAGATTTATGATCTTCTTTTAGCTCATTGCCTTGATTTTCTGGCCTGCAACTTTACTGCTTTTGTTTGCTCTTATGGCTTAATTTTCAGCTGTAGCAGCCAGCTGTTTTTAGCAGCTCCAATATGCTAACTGCCCAAAACCAAACAGCAGACAGAGTTAGCAACTGCTGGTGAACCTAGTGGAGCATTTAGCAGATAAAGAGCTAGATATTTCGCTCAGCTGGTTGTTGTTGACAGCGTGTTGTTAGCTGTGTCTGTTGGATGCCTTATTAAGTAACTGTTTGCTCAGAAGTTTGCCATACTAACTTAAAAGGTGATCGTAGGTGCTCGTAAATGTTGTGTTCAGTGTTGTGTTTGCTCTGCTCTCAGGTGGCTAAAAAATCAGTTATTAGGTCTACAGGTTTAAAGGGGGGGGGGGGGATGTGTTATTGTATTCATATAAATCAAACTCATGTATATGATTTATATGTCTGCAAACCTGGCTTTGTGGAATGAAACCATCCCCGAGACATTTTCAAATGCAATTTGATACAAGCCCTTTGGGGTAAAGCTCAGCTCTTGTTCTAACCTCTCATATGAGCAGTTAAGATGGAGGGTGGGTAACAGCCCGAAGTTACACAAGATGATGGAGGAAGAGAGTGGGGTGATAGCAGATGAGGGAGAAGCAGTTTAAAAGATTGATGGGGATGGGAAGGATGATGAAGAGTGATGAGCTCAAGAGGAGGGCTTTTGTTTTTTCTTTTGGAATAGGCCTGCGGTCTCTTCAGGTGCAAGACCTGTTCAAAAAATACAACATTTTCTGCAGATAAACACACTTGCTCGAAAAAACTGAAATGTAAGTTTGGGCACACACACAGTAGTGCTCATTAGTTCAGCTAGCTAGCGTAGCACACATTCTCAAAGTACTTTGTGAAGCGACTGGCCAATTATCCGTGTGCAAAGCAAACCAGTGAACCTTCTTAGCTGGCCACCAATTACCGTTCAATCTGATTTGGCCCACAGCAGATCTCCCCCCTGAGCTGTCTCACACACACACACACACACACACACACACACACACACACACACACACACAGAGTGAGAAATAAGTATGAGTGACTGACAGGAGCCACGGCCAACTGGGGCCAATTGAAGCCAAAGGAGCGGGTCATTAACCCCAACCTTGTGGCCAACCTTTAAACAAAGCCATGCTGGACACCTTAAATTAGAATGAATGAGATTAGTTGATCAGGAAGGACTAGGCTTTCTTAGCCTACCCCTTTCAACTCATAAAGAGAAGACATGTCGGACACTTGCCCTTAAATTTTGAGTAATTACAGGTCCCTAGAGCCAGACGTGGAGAGGAGGCGGGAGGAAATGTAACCTCAGGCGAATAAACAGCCCCCACCCCAGTATTCCCTCAGCTTCCTCTACTTCTTCACCACAAACAGGCTCTTGGGAACTGAAGTCCCAAATTATAGTCATTAATCTCCTTAAGGCACGTTCTGTGAACAAACATGTCTCATAAGCTGCGTGTGCACATTGGCTGTAATAATTGAAAATTTAAAAACAAACAATGTCTGAGATAATGTTGGGACTTGATGGTGGAGAACAGCTTCGAAAAAAGGTTTTTTTCAGATTTGAAGTGCAAGTGTTTATTTTTGAGCAGTTAAGTGTGGTACAAAACCACATAACGGAGCTATGTGAGGTTACCAATGGCTCTCCAGAGATTGTTGGAATTGTTTCAATTGATAGTGGCCTGGCAGGCCGCAACCAAGGCAGTGTTTGCCTATATGCTTATTGTTGTTTGTGTGAAATCCAAGGCATCTTCTGGGAGTTTTGCCTGAGAGGAATTGTGGCACACTGTCAAACCGTGCTCCACCCTGAAAGCCTCAGAGGAATTGCTTATAGGATTCCTGTCTGAATGAGGATACTAGTTACAGTGTGTGTAGTGTCTGGTTAAATTGCCATAATTCCAATCAAGAAAATGGATGAGCGAGTCATGGTTTTGTGGGTATGTTTTGTTTTTGTTCCCCAGCAAGGCTGAAGTATGACATTGTTGTTTATATTTATTCATTTATTCATTATAACCTCAGTTGTAGCAAGGCTTCCTTTCCCTGTGCGTAACACTGACCAATTTGGACGCCTGAATTACACAGTGGAGAGCAAAAAGAAGTAACCCATGTTATAATAATGCTACAGCCAGTGTCAAGTCTTACAGTATATCTTCAAAAGAGCATCTTGATTTGTAGTTATAAAACAGGTACTTCTACAGTTTAAACTGTATCACACAATGAGACACAATGTAAAATACCCACTAAATGTTCACATTGACAACACTGGCAGTTCATTATTATAAATATGCTAATCATACCACTCCAATGGCTACTTACTTTGTTGCCTAGCAACCTTGTTGTTTAGTCATTTCTGTTTATTGTTTAATAAAAGAATAGCATCTAATTATTATTAATAAGTATATTCATTATGCTTTGGCATTTGCTTTCTGTGTCCCTGGAAGATATCCCATCATACAGTGACTAATATTTTGTGCAGCCTCTCATAGATGATCAAAATAAATAACAGATTTGATTTGGTAATCAAACAAGCGAACAATCCCTGATTATATTACTGATTAAGAGTCCATGCAAGGTTAATTCAAGATTTATATTCACTGGTATGATTACATAAATATAGACATGTTGTTTTCTTTATTCCCTAACAGGTAAAGCCAATGCTAACGTCCAGTGGGATGAGGACTCCGCTGAGAGCTTTCCATCAAAACCAGTGAGAATAGCGTTTGTCCTGGTGGTCCATGGACGAGCCTCTCGCCAGTTTCAACGCCTCTTCAAAGCCATCTACCACACCTCGCACTACTACTACATACACGTCGATCAGGTGAGCCACACTTCAATGTTTGGTCAATGGAAGCTTGGTTATATTATTATATTATATTGAGATTTTCTTTGTTTTTCAATTACATTAACTTGTAAAATGTATGTCTTGGTATAAGACAGAATATTAATCAGTGTGTGAACATTTCCTTTATTCCAGCGCTCTAACTACCTGCACAGGCAGGTACATGCCTTGGCTGCCCAGTATACGAATGTGAGGGTGACACCCTGGCGCATGGCCACTATCTGGGGCGGTGCCAGTCTGCTGACCATGTATCTTCGCAGCATGGCGGACCTGCTGGCCATGAGGGACTGGAGCTGGGATTTCTTCATCAACCTCAGCGCTGCCGACTACCCCATCAGGTAACGCGGATGGATCTCACAACACAGGGAGTTCAGTGAAGGATGGTGGGGGGGGCTGATGGGAAGACAGTCTGGTAATGAATTTTCCTGTAAGGAAACGAAGCAATGTGTAGGGCCAAGCATCCAGTATAGGTGACAAAGGCAGTCACCTGGGCAAGACAATACAATCAATATGGAAGAAATTCAATACAGAGTTGTCTGGGCTCCTGTGGTTAACTGTGAGCTTTAAATAAAGAGTCACTCCAAACCAAACAGATCAATGATATTGGACCTCTGCTTCTCTCAAACACTATTCGTTAACACTTTCTCTTCCAAGTCCCTGCTTCCTTGCTTGTACTCCATTGAATGGGTTACATGGTGAACTGATTACAATTTAATTACCCAGTGTCAATAGCTATTGGCTTTCCAGGACTGTTGTGTACTGTACAGTCCGAAAATCATCTCTCCACACGTAAATATCCGCTTTAAATAGCTGCAAAAGGTCAGTAAAGCCACAAAGTCTACATAAACTGGACATAAAGTCATGGAAATAACCAATTGGAGGAGAAATTTTGTGACATGTTCTTTTTTTTATGTGAGTTTATAGTCCTTCTGGGGGTTTAGGGTCTGCTGGGTTTTTGATGTAGCTCTGCAGCAGCCAATTAAAATCCTCCTATTAAGGAGAGAGTTATCTCTTCTGCGCAGCCAGATGTCCACCCGTTGAATTTAGACAAGCTGTAATGGCCACTGGGTAAAAGGAGGCTGGATTTGATGTCTCCACAGCTGGAGCCAAGATGCAGGCGCAAGTGTGGATTTTTTTTCATAGACGGGTTCAGTCTTGTTGTGTTTAGTTCTTTTCATCATATCGATGAACGCTGCTGACGTGCTGTCTGTTTGTCTGTGTATGAGCGTCTGTATCTCTGCACCAGTGTGTGCATGTCTGAGTTCATGTCTTGCCGTCCGCTTAGTTCGGCGTGTCTCAGCACCTGTCTGTGTATATGGGTGCATATTTATCCTGTCTGTGCTCCCGTCTGTTTGTCTGTCTGCCTGCATGATTAAAGGTATTTGCGAGTGCGTGCACCGAGACGCTGTCTTCTTCCCGTCTTTTGCCTCCTCATTTGCATAAGGGTGATGTTGTTGAGAAAAAAGGCTGACAGTGGAGGTTTTAAGCCCCATCTGTTGGGAAACGAAACGATTGATGGAGCGAAAGAGGGAGCTGAGAGGCAGAAATGACAGGCAGAGAGGCGAGGGAGCGAGAATAAGCAGTTAGGGTAGGGGAACAAGAGGGAACTGCATGTTTTGGATCCATGCAATATGGAAATATGGAAATTGCACTATTTGCTTAGCAAGTGCATTTGTAACCACAGCTTGGATTTGACCAAATCTGTGCACTGCATATTTACTAAGTTGAACTTGCAAATATGGTCCTTTTAAGTGGCAGGCCTGGGTTCATGCCTGTGAGAGGGAGCATCCGTGCTACTCGAGGGTCCTCAAGCAAGAAACTGAAACCCATTCGGCTGTTTTGTTGCTGACAATCCATTCTGATTTCTTTGGGCACAGGATCAGGCAGAAAGACACATTCTCCCTCAGAAATAAACACCTCAGCATTCCATTATCATTATAGACATACTATTGCACACTACAGCACAGAAAACATGTTGGAATAAGCAGATGCCTCATTTTTGCCAGACTGCAAATACAACTGTGTATTAAGCTGCCGGTATGCTTCATCAGAACTGTTTGTCAGATGGTTGAATAGCTTTGGAGACCCCCTGACCCAACACCTTTCTGACGTTGGATTCGGGGGGGGGGGGTCAGTGTCCTACTAGTTCTGTTAATTTCCAAAACCAATAATGACATTCATACCCACTACACCGTGATTGTCCAGCTGTGAGGAGGTGAGAAACTATTTCTGTCACTTTTCATGTGAACAACCGAGTGAACGCCAACACTGTGAATGCCTTCCAGGACAGAAAATATAAAAATGTTACTTAACAATGTCACATCTCCCCCCTCCACCTTTGAGTGTGACCATTATGTATGTATGTATGTATACCATATGTTCTAATTCTTTTCAAGCATAACCTGACCCTTTGTCAAATTCATTTTAAGCTGGAACCCTGGAATTATTTATATTGATCATACTACATTTATTCAGCTAAATATATGTATTGTGAACCTGCAACAGTCTTTCGTGAATTTAGCTTTACGTTAGTGTTTTTGGGTCAAAGACTTTCCAAATGCCACTTGTTTTGACTGTGCCGTGCAAGTGCAGGCAGGAAAGAGGGGTGAGGGGAGGCTCCCACCCCTCTGCCCCGCGCTGCCCTGACTACTGCTGTTGTTATCAGTAGGACTGGAGACAAGCATTATTTCCCCTCTAATTCCCTGATAATGTCTGTCCTGCCGCATGGATGGCTCTCAAAGGCAAACCCAGAGCCCCTCACACCAGCAAAGGGGCTGTGTGTCCAGGGGGAGATGTGTGTGCCTCTGTGTGTGTGTGTGTGTGTCCAGAGAGGCCAGAGGATGAGTTACACGCTTGCTTTGTCAGAGTACAACCCTCTTTCCCAGCTTTTATCTACACAGTCTTCTTGCTTATACCTCTTTTTTATTTCTTCAAAGCCCCTTTCATGGACTTTACAGCAGCTTTTAAGAAGTCTGAGCTTTGTGAGACAATGACTGGCTGCAGGCACCATATCTTCTAATCTCTTTCACTTTGTCATCTCTGTCTGTGGAAAGAGATGTATCTCATATTTTAGCTTTGTTCCATAAGTGATGTGTGTCATTTTCCTCTTGTGGGAAAAAAACAACCTTTATAACCTGTTAGAACTAAGCCTAACTCATTTGAATGTAATTCTACTTCTACTTCTAAAATGGAAAAAAAAAACACTGCAAAACCTGCAGGATTTTTAAATTAAGTTACAAAACTTCTAGTAGGTTTTTCCAGGACAAAGATGGTGAATGTATGACCCATCATTCATCTGTCTGAGTGTTGTTAAGAGTGTGGGTTCACAACCTGTCAGCCATTGAAATTCAACTATTCCCCTCTGGAATGAAAAAGGCACATTATTAATTAATACAAGACTGTGGACGTGAAACAAGTATAATTGGTAATGGAAATTGAAAGGGTGCACATTTTTTAGTTGTCAGGTAGAGTCGAAACTCCCAGCAGTAAATCTGTGTGTGTGTGTGTGTGTGTTACTGTATGTGTGCATGTGAATACCACTGTGAGAGAGCAGCCACAGGGCTGACAGTAAGCAAACTAGACCCAGTGGACAGGGTGACCACTCAGGTGGCAAATCTGGAGCTTGACATGAATTCCCCTCGCTCTGTGTGTGCATGCGAGTCTGCGTGCCTACAAGCATTTGTGTGTCTCTGTGCATGTATTTTGTACTGTCAGTGGGCATACTAGCAGATACTAGTGTATGCATGTGTGTCTGGGAAGGAGAGACAGAGATGACTGCATGTGGCTGTGCAGCACATCATCAGTTAGGCTTTATGGCTCAGGACCTCCTAAGATAAGCCCCCCAGGCTGTGAAATTGCTCCTTCAAGAGAAAATGACATTAATATGTGCTTGTCCCTCCCCCCACTGATCCTTGAGCTTTTTACCAGGGCCTCAATGCTCTTTTAGAAAGGCAAGCCAAGCCATCATGAAAGGCTCCACCACAGATGAAATGTTAGAGCCATTGACTGGGGCATAGCCTGCAGAGCAAAGCTTTTAGCCTGTCTGGCCTGTGTATGAGGGAGTAGACTGCTCTACAATGTAGGAGCAGCATGAAGTCATTCATCACAAATCATGGATAGCACAATCTTTTGTATAATCCCAAATAGCTGTAATGGCTTCAAGGAACAGAGAGACTGACACTGAATTCAGCCAAGGTCTTTAATTGATCACTGCTTGATTTAAAGCCCCTGAAGATGTATTTCTCCATAACATTAAAATCCCCTTCCACACAATAATGTGTTTTGCTTATTGTTTCTTCACTTGGATGTTTGAGCTTCACTGTACAAAATGATGTATGTGCAGAGTCTGTTTTTTATATTCACCTGCTGAAGGGGGAAAATTGGTCTGTGGTCAACTTAAATCTGATTGTAACACATGAATCTACCAGCATGATTTCACACCTAGTTTGGAGCCAATCCTGGTCCAGTATGCAACTTGTACAAGTGTGATGTTTTCACACAGTTGTGAGTTTTCTCCTCCTACATTTCCGCTTTTTGGCGGAGATATGCATTCTGGGATACCTGGCTATCCGAAGTTCACAACAGCTCGCTAAAATGGGCGGAGTGAGAACACATCCAGGTATTTGATTGTATTGGCTAGATGCGGACTTTTGTATTGGAGCAGTACTTGGGCTGCGACTGATGACGTTTCACAAGTCTACAAGAACACAAGTGCAGACCGCTTGAGATTCAGTGGAGCAGGAGACTGCTGTGTCTGGAAGTTAATCTGTTTCAATCAACAAAACAGTTTGAACTTTGGAAGAAAAAATGTGTGTTCATGTAGGACCCCATCACTCATAGTAAGAAGCTAATTGAGAAAATATCAGGGCCTTTAAAGAAACAGCAAAACAAAAGTTGGAGCACATTTGCTATATTTCGAAGGGAAACTAAATATGTGGGCAGGGTTGAGTATACAAGTTTTTTTTTGTTGTTGTTTTTTTTTTATCAAATTATCATTATAACTATTTCACTGTGTCTTAAAGGACTTTTTCTATAGCAACTAGTAACAGGTAGATTCATTTGCATAAGTTTCCTCCAAAACTGACAACAGAATGCACTGCACTGCAAAATCAATGTTCCACCTCCAGCTAGGTCTCGCCATATGTTTCCCGGTCAAAAGTAAGTCATATCCTTCCATTTCAGGACCAATAACCAGCTGGTGGCCTTCCTGTCTAAATACAGAGACATGAACTTCATCAAGTCCCACGGCAGGGACAATGCCAGGTGAGACGCAAATGTTGAAATTTCATTTTAATTTCTGCGCCCTTTCTCTTACTCTGTGGCTAGCTCTCTGTGTTTGTCTCACTTACTCACACACAGCAGCACCTCTGCGCACAGTCAGCACGCTCATGCCAGCAGCACAGCGTGGTCACTGAATCATAATACAATTAGCTCCCATCTGTGGCTTCATTAATTAACCTTCTTGGTGGGGTGAGCTAGCGAGGTCGCTGCCAGAACTCCTTTCTCTGCTGCCGCCACCACTCCACCCTCTACTTTCTGCCCCATCAAACCCTGGTGACAAACCAGTCATCACCCGACACTGTGGGCAAAAATTCCCCTGAAAAAAAACATGGAGAAACAAAAAAACATCGGCCAGCATGGATGCATGACTCAGCATGACTCAGTGGTACCTTTTTGTATTTGCAGTCACAGTATTTTATTCAATGCTGTTTGATGAGAGTGAAGCTGTTTTGTTTCTGATTTAATTCTGTATTACCAGCAATAATGATCCTGGTAATCCACTTCTATATGCACGTATGTATACGTGGATGGCTGAAACAAATTGAAATGCTGGAAAAATGCATGAGTACATTTCAAAAATGTCATCAGAATATGTATGTATGCGTGTGCCACAGGGTCAATACCTCAACGGTCTCTGTCTCTGTCCAGAGAACAGAAGGAACAACCTGACCTGGTTGACCTAAATTTGACTCCCTCTATCTGACACTCGATACATTCACAGGAGTAACACCATTATGCATGCGTGGTGTCACTCTTCTTGTTGCTGATAAAAGTGTGTAGTGACAAGTGCGAAAGACACATTTGACAAGTTATTTAAGGCCAAGGACAGGAGACAAATTCTTCTATAAAGCCAAGGAAATAATTTAATAATAATAATAGTTATCGTTTAAAATGATTACTCTGTCATCTCTTTAGCCGAAAGTTGAGTTGTGTCTACACCTACCTGAGGATATTTTCAGGGTGCTCTTTTTTAGCTAATTTTATTTGTTTTGTTTTTTTCATTTTCATTAAAAAAACAACAGATTGCTTTTAGATGGAGCAGATCCAGAGTTTCACCCTGATTTTAAAACAAGCACTCAAAGGTTTCCTACTGAAAGAGGACAATGTTCACTAAATTGTACAGTCAACAAGGGCCTCTTGTGACAAGCATTGCTCAAATATCTTGATGCTGTTTTGCTGTTTATAGAAAGTAAAGAGAAAAAGTGGAAGAAAGCACATACAGTGAGCTACTGATTATGCATATGTGTCCTTCTAACTATAAAACAAGAACTACAGAGTACTTTTATCCCTCAGATATGTTCAGTAGTCAGTGGTATAACCACAAATCATGTGCGTGTTTACTAGGTTTATCCGTAAGCAGGGTCTGGATCGTCTGTTCTACGAGTGTGACACCCACATGTGGAGGCTGGGTGACCGTAAAATCCCAGAAGGCATCTCCGTGGATGGTGGATCAGACTGGTTCCTTCTCAACCGCGTGTTCATCGAATATGTCATCAACTCCAAGGACGACCTGGTAACCAACATGAAGCGCTTCTACGCCTACACTCTGCTGCCTGCTGAGGTAACACACACAAACAGACACCGCTTTCACACGTTCAAGTGTTTGTTAACCTTTGACTGACAGGCTATGCTTTGTACTGACACCGCATCCCTTATAGAAACAGTATAATATTCTTGTTTCATTGCCGTTAGACATGCAGGGGGAAAAAAGAACTCGGAGGAGGACATAAAATCATAGAGTGAACGCGAGATGTGAAGTCTTTCTTTCCAGCCGTATACAAGGATTGGATGAGAACTGAATGATCTCTTTGGGGGAATTGGATTTTTATCATGAGCTACTGTGAATCTCCATTCTCTGCTGCTACTCCATTTCCACTCTGTGAATTGAATTGTGTAAAAAATAAAAAGTATACAATTTTCTAATTTTGTCTCAATGTCTCTGATCCCACCTCCCCCCGGCTCTCTATCCATTTTTGTTTCTGTTTCTCCATACCAAGTCATTCTTCCACACTGTGCTGGAGAACAGTGCCCACTGTGAGAGCATGGTGGATAACAACCTGCGCATCACCAACTGGAACCGCAAACTGGGCTGCAAGTGCCAGTACAAGCACATTGTCGATTGGTGTGGATGTTCCCCGAATGACTTCAAGCCTGCAGACTTCCACCGCTTCCAGGTGATAATAACACACAACATGAATGTAGAGAAAATGTCTTTTTGATCTTGCAACCTTTTATGATCAGTCCGCTGGCCACAAGCAGAGCTAGTGGCACTAGTGAGCCAGACCCCAACTTCTAAGTATCACATTTAGGAGTTTTATAAAGAACTAAAACGTTTGATTGTACAAAAAGGGACTAATTAATACTGAAGGCAGTGTGGTAAAACAAACAATTTAAAACCTGGCTCACCATTTTGATAGTTATTGTGAATTTACTTTTTATGTTGACTTTTAATGTTTTTATTATTTGGAATAGAAAGTAATTGAGATAAGATAAGATAAGCCTCTATTGATCCCTAGAGGGGAAGTTCAGGTTTTGCAGCAGCCCAAGGGGAGAAATAAGTGCAGATAAATAGAGAAAACTAAAAGATATATGATAATTTAAAGAGAGTTATATGATACCATCTACTGTAAAATAGTACACCACAATAATATATTATATAATGAAGTAATGATACTTAGTGTTTGCCGTATTCATATATAGAAATATCATATAGTTCATAATGTATTAAAACAGAATAACATATTAACATAAAATAGATTAAGATGGTGCTGTATAATATACTGTAGTATGGGATATATAATATAATGTAACGTGAAAGTAGTATAACATAATGTATTATACACTACAGCGATATAGCATAGAATATAACATAATGTATAATATATAATAAAATTGCAAAATCCCAGATAAACTTAAGCCACAGGTTGAATATTTCTTTAATATACTTTTGGCTGCATGCAGAAATAGCTGCAGACAAGCCTTCCAACCAAGGATGATTGGACTGCAGTTGCCAATGAAACTGAATGGAGAAATTGGTCTTCATCTCAAGAATATGATATGAACATTATGTAAAAAAAAAAAAAAGATGCACAGAAAGGACTGCAAACAAAATCTAGATCTGCTTTAATCATGTCATTTTCACCTCTAAGGAGCGCACAGAAGTATTGTAATATCCTAGGTTTATTTGTCACATACACAAACAATATGTGTAGTGAAAAGCAATGTGGCGTGCTCTAAAGGAACAAGGTACATTCAAGAGCCATTAAATTTGATCAATAAGTTTTATTCTTGCATCTGTTAGTAGTAAAAGTTAAAAGTTTTTAATTTAATTTAAGCCCATTTTAGGTGTTACGCAAGTGCTTCAGATTAAATATCTTCCAGCAGATGTTCATCAGAGACATCAGACAAACATCAGACAACAATGTGAAAACATCAGTTTTCAGCACACACATCTCAGTGAGTCGTAGGAAATCAGCAGCAGTCAATATCTAAATTCTCTGCCCTTAAGGTCCGTCCTCCTCAGCATCCAGCCTGTTCCCACAGCTTTCACAATCAATATGGGCAAAATTATGTCTCGATTAGTATGACCCTGAAAGGGAAAATAAATTAATAGTAATTAGATTCTCTTTGCAGTGAGTATGAAGAGAGAAAAGAGGCTAAGATAGCTTTTCAAAATGAAAGTGAATGAGTGGCAGTGACTCCAGGACCCCAGAGAAAGTCAGTATCGCAGTTTGACTTTAAATGTCTTCCTAAAAAGTAAAAGCTGCAGTACAAAGTGAAAACGTTCTGCCACAGTTAAGTATGACTTCAAGTCATATCCTTTTAGTGCTGTGACTCACCTCGGCCCTCCTGTCCTTCACATACCAGTCAGAGCCTTCATACTGACCTCAGTTCTCCCTTTGCCAGAGCCGTCTGTCTCGCCTCAGTCTCTGGCGGTTCAGTGCCAACACATTACCACAGGTCCTTGGCACTGCCGCTGGGTCTGGTTGGCACCCTGGTATCAGTGAAGTCCAACCCTGGGAACAAAGCAGCCTTTCCAGAAGCCAGCCAGCCATTATTTGGACTTAATATCCCATTGAGTTCACAATCCGAGTTTCCCTTTGAACATTAGCATTGGGGAAGATACAGACAAGCAAAGTAGGCTTCAATTTGGTTTGCAGATGAGAAGAATAATTCAAGGGACAACTGTCGAGTTTCCCACATAGTGATTTTGAAGTGCACTCACCAGGAGAGGGGGTTATTCTGGAGAGGGAGAGCTACGATGTGCCTTTTCGTCTTAGTGCATCATTGTTTAGTAATGTGTTTCAGAATGAGGTGCATTTGGGAAGTCTGTTGGAAAGACAGGGTGTGACAGGTTGGTGCTTTCAGGCGACTGCAATGAGGGCATGTCAGAACGCACAAAAGCTGGGAATGTGTAAACACTAAAACCTCCCTCCTTTGTGTTCCATTTGTTTCATCTGTAGCCGATCACAGAGGGTTAACGCATCATCTGGTGCCGTGTGAAGCTAGCCCGACATCTCACAGTTGCCGCTCCAGCATGAGAAAAAGCTCAAGTGTGCCGCAGCTTGATTAGTCCTCCTTTTCTTTTTCTTTTTTTTTTAGCAGGTAACACGGAGGTGTTCTGTGCTGAGTAACTGTCGGTAAATAGTTCTGTGTCTGGGATTGAAAAGATGTCTTTGTGCGTAAGCCAAGCTGTGGAGGCGACAGATTTCATGAAGCACCATCAACCACACAAGCAACAGTGTGGCAGGGACATAGAGGGTGAGAAAGACATGGGTGGCGTGGAGGAGGCCAGACAGAGCGACAAATACAGAAGTGTTGAGAAAAGACATGATGAATGGATGGATAAAAACAGAAAGGGAAAAAGGACAGTACTGAAAGCCACACAGCTGCTGCATCGAGTTACAAGCAGATGCTAATGGGGCCTTATTTTGTGCCTCCGAAGAGATGTACAGCATCTTCTCATCTTTCTTAGTCAAGTACCTTTAGCCTCTAACATTGACTATAATTCCTGTAATGAAGCTGTCTGACACAGATGCCCTGAGTGATTTGCAGCTCCAGCAATGCACCCACAATCCTTTCATCAATAGTTGCATTGGGATGTGATTAACTTTTTTTAGACCTCTCTCAATGGGTAATTTATTTTCTCCTTTATTTCTCCTTAACCTTTGAGACCCTGGCCTGCAAGATAGCAATCACTAAGTCGTTCTTCTGCTCAGTAAATTACTGTAGTACATTATGTTTGTTCCCCATCCTGTCTGCAGGAGTAAGACAGGGTATTTAAGGGTAGTTTCTTTGTTCAAATATGATAGTGAGTACATTGTTTTGACAAGCTGGTATAATGGGCAATTGACTCATGGGAACCACAGAGAAGAGTTGTTCCCGAACTTTTTGGCTTGTGACACCTTAAAATAAAGCAATGTTTAGTTGCAAGCTTTCGTCACCAGTTGTATACTTGTACTAGCTGGACAGTTTCAGAGTCTTGAAGAAGCACATTTATCCAGTAATTTACAAAAATCTGCAAATATTAAAGTCTGAAAAGGACTTTGTGTACCAGAAATGTTCCTCTTTCTTTAAAGAAGAACTGTGACAATTTTACACGTCAAAGTCTGTTTACAGGTCTTGGGCTCTAACTTTGCTATTATGTGAAAAAAAAGTTGTATAAAGCCTTTTGTGGCTCCAGAAGGAGTCTGTTAAATTGCCTCAAGTTGTGTCAGTGTAGATTTAGATAAAAGTGAGCTTACCAAACCTCTTTAGCTTCGACTAGCATAGCACGCTAGAATCTCAAAACAAACCGTTGGCAGTCGAGTTGTATTGTGGGTAATGTAGGCACCAGATTACGACAAGGAAGCAGAATGTGTGGAATATATATATATATGTGTGTGTGTGTGTGTGTGTGTGTGTGTGTATGTATATATATATATATATTTGTTTTATAAATTATGTAAAATAATTCACTCACATATTTATACAGAAAATGTTCACTTCCTTTTTATCTGCTACCTTCTACCTTCTCTTTTCTTCTCTCTGCCCACACGTCAAAACCACACACATCTAACACATCATATTTTTTCCCCTGCCATCCTGGCACACCACCATTTGCTAATCTTCTTTTTCTTCTCTTTATCTCATCCCTCCCTGCTTTGCTGTTACGTGCCCCCTTTCCCTCTGCAGCAAACGGTGCGGCCCACCTTCTTTGCCAGGAAGTTTGAAGCCAGCGTGAACCAGGAGATAGTGAACCAGCTGGATGCCTACCTGTTTGGACCGTTTCCCCAGGGAACGCCAAGCCTAAATTCATACTGGGAGAGCGTGTACGACGAGCCAGATGGCGTGGCCAGTCTGTCGGACACGCAGCTCACATACTACCACTCCTTCTCCCGACTGGGCCTGGCCAGAGCTGCCACCTCGCTGCAGGGAAACCCACAGGATCACAGCTGCAGGTTAGTTTGTTTTTGGTTCATTAAACCCGGGCATGTTCACCTATGCAAATATTTCTTACTTTTTCTTTCTGTTGTCCATCTACAAACACTATCATCATCACAGGATCAGGACGCACCTGCGTCTCCAACCACAGGTGCACTCCGTTTTTTTTTTATTCTTAAAAAAACAGCCACACCCACATTAGCATGAGAAACCACATCATATATAAAAAACCTTTTGTATCTCTGTTGATGCGTCGTCTATGTCTGTCGTCACACGTCATGGAAATAGCATAACAATGAGAGGTTCCAATCAGCAGCTAGGAACTCTGGGTAATTCTGTTCATTTTGTAATATGACACTCGGACAATTTATTCCAGAGATAATGAGGCTATATGGGTCATAGCACTGAAAGCTGCCCCTTCAGGCCAGTGTATTATTAGTGGAAATGTATAAATTCCAGTGCTGTTAACATACAATTTGTGGTTAAAATGAAAACTGAACAACCCACTATGCTATGATGTTTAATGGCCAAAACATTTCAGCTTCATGTCATGCTTCAGTGAGGACTTTCAACAGCATATGCTTTCAGTAGCAACAGGTGAAGGAGCATTTTAGGTTATCTCTCCCTTAGTTTATTTGCACAGCGATGAAGCCCAGACACAAAGAGATTAAAAAGCAGTAATAAATGAAATATGCTGATTCAAAACAGAAAGCAGAGTAATTGCCACATGCATCTCATAAAAATCACTTACCTTGGAACAAAAGATAAAGCAAACAAACACGACACCTACAGTAGCAGCAAGCATTAAGATGACATCTTTATGTTAATCTTAATGACATCAACAAACATCAAGATGACTTTTCCCCACATGAGGCAGCATAACAGAAAATAGATGGGGCACACACACACACACACACATAAACACACACTCACTGCATTGTGGGTGTTCTGAAAAGTCCTGCGGGTAAAGCCGAGCAGAGAAAAGGAAGCAGGTTTCCATCTGTCAAACCTCAAAACCAGCTATCAGCTACAGCTGTTTCTATTCAGACGCTGCATCTGTTAAAAGAGCAGACCAAGGGAAAGGTGGTTACATACATGCATGTGTGTATGCGTGTGTCTTTGCATGTCTAACAGAGGGGGGGGGCCTGCAAATCTCTGTCATTGCCAGGAAATGAGTCTGTGAGAAAAGGCATTTCCTTCAGGCAAACGAGCAAACCTCAGTCTTTAACATTTACATGTAAAAGCAGTTTTAGATAGCTGAGAGGCCAGAGGTCAAACAGCAGGGAATATAGAGAACTGTAAATGTCAGCATGTACGTGTCTGTGTGCAACCTACTCAACAGTGTTGATGTGTATGTATTGCTACCTATTAACATAAACACACAACTTGAAGTGTCACTTTATGTGTGTGAGTGTTTTTGCACATTTGTAGGTACACAAAACCTAAAAATGTGGACAGGTCCACTCTCTGTGTCAATACAGGAGTGGCCCAGTCAGTGTATCTGTGATAAGCAAATGCAAGCAGATTGAGTGTCACCTAAAGTGTGTGAGTTGTATTAAGCCTTTTGGGTCTAGTCTCAAGTCCTCATATGTAAACTGCGAGTCAGGATGAAGTCTGTGAGGTGTCTGACAGCTTGCAAAGCTGTTTTGATGGTGTTGTTACATAGCTGAGTCCAAATTCTTTCATTGCCTTTTATTTGGGGTGGAGCTAATTGAACACAGATGAGAAGGCTGGTTCATGATAAAAAGAATGATTTAGGTGGTACATGCCCACCTTTCTAAAATGACCAATAACACAGCAGGAAATGTGAAAAAGCAGGCATTGCTTTATAGTAACGTGCAACATATATTTACACAGTGAATAACAGACTTAGGGAAATGTGCCCTGGTTTGTGCCTCCCGTGTATTCACATACGTACAGCTAAGGATTTCCCCGAAACATAAGTACTAGGTGATCTTTAAAAATCCCAGTATTTTGTTTAAGATAACTCACATTTGTTCAAAAAAAAAGTATTTTAGAGTTCTGGAAATTCAGTCAGAGCAGCAGTAAATGTAGTTAAACAATCTTGTGGGTTTTTCAGGCACCATGTGCTAACCTAAGGGTAATACATGAGAGGCACAAACTGGGGCTAACCCAACATATCCATGTTATGTTGTGTTACACATGCTGCCATATGATATTGAAGTCTACATTTTCCACGACTTAATAGGATGCATCATTTAACACAAAGAGTCAGACATCCTTACTGTGTGTCCTCTCTGGTCTATGACATGTTCTCTCATAAATTGATCGCTACAGCATTACCCGGGTGGAAGCATTGAATGATGCACAATTTCAATTTCAATGTGCTTTAAGATAAGTATACTAGCTTGTGAAGTATATAAGCAAAAATCAGGACCTCATACATAAATAATGTGAGCTACAAGTGAGTCAGAGCTGCAGTGAGGCATTGTTCAGCTGGGAAAAAAGGACAATTAAAAAGTAAAATGAGCCTTGTGATTCTCTTTTAATTCGGCCACGTTCTGGTTTATAGGCCTAATAATTAAATACACATTGTGTGTGGCATAACAACACAAGCCCTGCATGTCTCATTTATGTTTTATTGATCTGGAATTTTACTGATCAAGCCAGGTGATTAAAACTGATTAAAGGTTTTAGTATGAAGTCTAAGCTAAGTCCCAGAAGATGAGCACTTGCTTTGGCAACTTATGTCTCATTATGGTGTGAATGTGTGGCCACATATTATGCATGCATGTAGAATTCTGATGTGCTACCAACGTATGGACTGGCCGGCCTCAGCATGAGACTGGAGCAAGAGAGAGGAAAAGAGAGAGCCAAGAGAGAGGGATTTGGCTCTTTTAGCAGCCCGCTGTGACTCCAGTGGAGACTGTGGCGTAAAAGCTTGAATGGAGCGTCTGTGCAGGCTACGCTCCGACCCCTTCTCACTGCCTCTCACACTGGCAGCCACGTCTCTTTTGGGAAAGACTGAGCAGGGGGGAACGAGAGCTGAGGGACGAGGACAGAAGGAAGGATGAAAGAAGGAGGAGAGGGGAGAGAAACAAAGAGGGGAAAGCAGATAGGAGAATAGAGACGAGCAGAAAGGGAGAAAGACAAGGGAAAGGAAGCAGGAGAGGAGGGAGTGTGCACTGCTATCCTTGTGGGTGTAAATATTTGCTGTTCTGCTTGTCAGGGTAGCATTTACCAGGACGGGTTGACTCTTGGTCCTTTAGTAGAATACTGATGAGGCCGTGGGCACTGGGGAGCAGGGCGGGACAGCGTGTGTGTTAATCTGTGTGTGTGTGTGTGTTCAAAAGACGAGGAATAAAGACGAATTCAAGGAAGCAGAAGAGACGGAGGATGAGAAATCGGGGAGAAAAAGAGTCAGGATGTGTGCAGAGAGCAGCTGTGGAGCGTTCCCCAGCAGTGCCCACCCTGGCCCCTTTTTTGTTTTTCCAGAAGTCACTCGGGCTGGCTGCCCCGAGGGCCGGCCCTCTGCCACGTATGAAGCGACACACAAACAAACAACAGACTAATCAGAGGGGCAAGACCTTCATTCGGCTTCGGCTGACTGGATGACCCAGTTCAACTTTGTTCAGCAGACTTGTAATGTGTTTAGTTGGATTGTCTGTGTGTGTGTTCAGAACTCTGACTAATCTCAAACTGCTGCCAATACAGCCCATGGCTGTTCTGTAATTGTCTGTAGCCAGCAGAATGCTGTGGTCTCGACTGTCAGGTCTTCTTTTACCATCCCTACCACTTAAGAACTAGAGTACATGTCGAAGCAAATAGCACATTTTAAAGCAATAATTAGCATCTATTTACTTAGAAGTTCTCAATGGTACACTGTTCACTAATCCATTACCTTTTTTACACTTTAATAGTTATATACAAGCATAAAAATGGTTTAAAGCCATGTCTATGAAGATTCTCAGTCATCCAGGTCATAGTTATCCAACAAAGGTTAAAATCAAGGGCAACTGGACTTGGTTGAAGATACTGGAAGACGTTTCGCCCTTGATTTTAACCTTCGTTGGATGGTTTAAAGCCATGGTTACCAAAGCATGGGAATAGCAACCAACAAACAGTGCTTAATAGGAATTATCAGCATGGTCTACACATGTCTTTGACCAACTGTTTTCTGTTAAAGGTCATTGAATTAATATCCACCATATGGCACAATTACAGACAGAGCACATAAACGCCCCACTAATTGTCACTTCGAGCATACATTAGCATTCAGACACATTAGCATGTCCAAAGCTGGTTCCTTGCGGACGTTGTCCAGATGAATCTAGATATTCTTCTCCTCTTACACTTTTGGCCCTGCAAAGCGGCACAGCAGCTAGGTCAGCAGGTATTAGGTTTGCTAATGGTTTTTCACTCTCGATGCTCCGCCAGGTACTTCCCCATGGGCCACCCGGTGTCAGTGCATCTCTACTTCCAGTCAGACCAATTCCAGGGCTACCTGGTCAAGCACCATGCCACCAATCTGGCCACTAGCAAGCTGGAGACAATGGAGACCTGGGTGGCACCCAAAAAGAACTTCAAGCTAACCACCCCTCCCAGCAGCACCTTCAGCAGGTTGCAGTTTGCAGAGGTGAGTCAGCATGTTGGCTTGCATGTTGTAGCATTTATATTTCATTTACATTGAAGTCACTGTCTGGCATGACTCACAAAACGATCAGTCAGCAATTTTCAGTGTTAGGAAATGAGTTCCATTAAAACCCTAAGCACCACACAGTTTTTCCTATGTGGTGCTTATAATTAGAGGTAAGATATACAGCTCATTGCCATGGTGACCTTATATTCACTGCTATGGCGACCTTGCCAAGCCTCATAGCAGCACATCTCCACAAAATTAAACTGGTGCCTGTAATGGCCTTGTAAAATGTAAATTGATTGAATTCATCCAAGTTTATAGGGATGAGCGCTTCATGTGCTGCTTATTTGTTGTTTCCTAATAGAACGTCTTCTCACCTTCACACTGGAATGCTTCCCTTGATTGTCTTGTTATGTTAATCTGTGTTTCTGTTTACCACAACGCCTGTTTGGGACACAGCAGCTCGGCTGTGATGTGACAGCCACAGAGTGTCTTTTTACAAAGGACAAAATTAAATGAGTGAATGTATATTGACCTTTTTCTCTGGTTTATCGTGCACAGCTTTGTTGGAAACAGAAATGTCATCAAACTTGTGAACAAATTTGTGTGCTTTGTTTGTGCCTGTGGGGACCACACTCATACACCTGGACACCCTGACCCTGTTTGACCTCTTCCAGCAGTCACAAAGTGAACTCAAAGGGATCCAGGCGGCCAGTCGCCTCGCCGGTCCCTCTCACTAAGCCCATGTTTGTGTGTCTAGCCTATGAAACTGTGAGTGACAGAGAAACGATGTGAGCTGTGGCTTTTATCTGGATGCTCAGCCTGAGAAAGCATTCACTGTCTGGCACTGTGCAATGGCTGTCAGTCAGTCAGTTTGTCCATCTGTCATTCAAAGTGCAGAAAGAACTTCAATAAGACAGCACAGCGTAGCAGCAGTAGCTCTGTGCTTTTTGTCAACTTAGCAGATATGACCCATTATACTAAAGCTATGCTGGAGTTTGCTAGATAAACCATATGGTTGGCTTAACAATGTGTACCCTGTCCTCCTTTAGATATAAAGGAAGACAGATATGTCTTTCTTTCACCCCTCTACTGCCGCCTCCCAGCTGCTTTTATAGGCCTTCTTACAGCATGATTTAGTGTGGGACCACTTACTGTTAAACCATGTTAAAATTAGTACATCAGTTCACCTCAAGTCAGACTTGACATTGAGAGGTATATTACCCTTTGTTGGACAAATCTTACATAGTAGAATGACTTTGACTGATAGTTTAGTCCTTATTCTACCACAGTTAATATAATCGTGTATATGGTGATAGAGGATATACGGAGAGTGACAACATAACAGGAACACATTATGATGTAAAGTAATCCAAAAGTGTAACATTACAAGCTTTAAAAAGGTGCTACAGCACCATAGGACTGGCTTCTGTATCTCTAATTTTGTCCACCTTTTGTTTTTATAGGGTAAAATGTACACAAAAAGTCATATGCTGTATATCATAGTAGCAGCCATATGTGGCCCTGAGACAATTTCATAATGGTCCACATGCTTAGTATTTATTGTTGTTATTATTATATATGTCATTTTGATTTCCCGCAGTCTTTTACTCAAGTGTAATCATTCAATTCACTAGCAAATAAAAAAAACAAAGCCTAAAAATTAATTTTATTTCATGTGTTATATTAGGTATTACATTATCAAGCTGAGCCTCTGTAAAAAGTGCAATTTTATCCACATAATGTAAACCAGAGCTGTTAAATGATGGACCTGACACTCAAGTGTCTTTCTTCTAAACCTAAAAGAGACCTAAAAGAGAGGTTGATCTAGAGCACAGACATTTTCAGGAGATGTGGAAGTTAAATGTGACTACTTCCTGTTTCATCTGCAAAGAGGAAGTTGTTGTTGTCCAGAATACAATTTCAGAGTTTTCAAAGGAAAGATTATTGGCTCAGCTTTGGAGTGTACATAGTTGAAATGTATTTTAGGAAAAAAAACTGGGGGATTTTGAGTCTTCAAACCTAGGGAGAAAACAATGTGGCAATGTGTGGTTCATTGGATTTATATCAACAGTTTAAACAAATAGACATTTTGGGAAATACACTTATTTGCTTTCTTACCTAGAGTTAGATGAAAAGATAAATAACAAGTCTGTACTGTAAATTTGAAGCTACCGTCATCAGCCAGTTAAGTTAGCTTAAAAACAGGAGAACAAATTTTATGGATTATTCCGACACATCATGAATGCTGGGTAATTCTCTGTAAGAAAGCGAATAAGCACATTTTCCAAAATGTCAAACTATTAATTTAAGTCTCTTCATTCATATGTGCATCTCACATCTCTCGGCTTGCACATTTCCAACAGAAAAGAGCTTGCTCTCTGTGTTGCACTCTCAATTCTCCACCCGTCCTTCCTCATACATCTCTCCACAGTGTATCTTTATTAGCAAACATCCAGCCATGTAAATTCTCAGTAGTATACGGTGCCCCAGGGGAATCCTCTGGTGCTGCTGGTGAACACCTGTGTTCGGTTACCCCTGCAGAAAGTGCCACTAATAAGCCTCTGATTTGAGCCTCTAGGGGCATTCATGCCCTATGGTTTTAAGCAGGGCCAGATGTAGAATGGGACTGTCCATGTCACTGCCTGATTAAATTGACATCTTATTTAATGTAGGTGTGGGCACCGGCAAACGTGACGTGGAGAAAAGGGTTGTAGGGTTGCAAGGTCAGAAGGAAGAAATGGAATAGAGGTGGATTATGAGATGGGAACATTTTATATTTCCTATTAAGTCAGGTAGGGGATTGAGCAGAGGATGAAACAAGTGAGATGGGTAATCTGCATGAATGATGAGGCATATGTGGAGAAGACTAAAATGTATAATGTGCGAGTCATTTCTCCTTCTGTTTGTCAGGTGAACAGCAGAGATTAGGGTTTAATCTGCCGAAAAATAACAATGCTTGTTAGTTATTGCTTGTTACGAATGGAAAATCTGAATAATTGGTTCAAGTGAATGGAAAGATTGAGCAAACAGGCCAATAGAGAGATGGGAGTAATTGAAAAAAGGTCCCAATCAATTAGGTCGCCCGATCAGCATTAGTTCCACAAAAACATGATCGTCTAAGTATAGCTATAAGTGAGAGAAGATCCTGAGCCTCCAACTTGGTAAGCGGTCATAAGGCTTAATTGGATATTGGTCTTAAGCCAAAGCTCATTGGGTCGAAGCAGCAAGGGGCAGGTTGAGTGTGGAGGTCATCGTAAGCTAGAGCCTAAGGCTAAAATGGGCCAGAAGTTAATCCCTGTTTGACCTACTTTCATATAGGAAGAAAGAAGTGCTTGCTACTGCTGGCTTTGTCTATTACCTGCAGATATACCTTGAATTGAACTACCAAGAGAGAGATACCTTAGTCACAAAAATAAATAATTGCAACATTTAAAGCAATAAATGTTGTGAATGTGTTTAAAAATATTTTGGCAAACATTCAGCTGATGTGGAAACAATGTTGTGTATTCTTGTGTACATAAGGACCTCAAGCTCTGCATAAAAATACGATAGGTCAATGTGTAATACTATGTATTTAGCACTTTTTTGTATAAAATGCCCTGCCCATTAGCTCTGTGGTAAGCAGGGAAGGAATTTATCTTCTGTCATGTACGTCGTGTGCGCGTGTGTGCGTTAGTGCAGAGAGTGAAAAGCCTGTAGAGTGAAACAGGGAAGCGGCCCATTCGTCTGGCATGAAACTGCTTGAAAAAAGTGGAACTTGCACTGCTGCACCAATTGTGGAGAATTTATGTTGCATTTAGTTAATGTTTGTTGCCGAACAAACTATGGGGAAGAACCAGAAGCAAGTCTACCCACGGCATGTGAACACTGTCAGAATCTCCCTCTCACAACTCTACCTTTAGTCGGCCTTCTGCGGGCTCTCTCCTAGGGGATTACAATAAAATTCCTCTGTCAATACTTCCTTCATTTCTTTCTGGGGCTGAGAACGAGAGTGCTGCCAATCAATCGGGGATGTAGTGTGTGCCAGCGAGTCAGCCTTGAATGAAGTAATGAGCTACAGAGGTGCCAGACAAGAGAGTTGATTAGTAATTTAAAGAGAAGAGAACCAAGGTCTAAGGGGCAGAAATGGCAGAGGTCAGTCCAATAATTGAGATGAAAGTGAGGTGTCTTTTACGGATGGCCAAGACACACACACACACACTTACTCATTTATACAAGTAATGCCTATTTATACTGTATATCGCAATCTCAATTCTCAAAGGATGTAATACAGAGTCAGTTCCAGTCAGCCATTGATCGTCCAGCAGGGTGAGGCTGTGTTAATCAGCTACCATTGTAAGGATGAGCGCTTCCTAAAGCCGCCATCCCTCTCACATTTCTGCCAAAAGCCCAGACATCTTTCACTGTCAGTGTGTGTGCGTGTGTGTGTGTTGCCTCTCTATCTCCCCGTCTCCCTCATAAATCTCGATCGCGCCGTGTCTCTCATTTTGCATAACACATGGTTTTGCAATCTCTGCGATCCAACATACACCGATCACACCTCTTCAGTTACAGTTCTGACCGCAATGAAGACATAAAAGGAAATTAGCTGTAATTATGCATTCTTCTTCTTCTTTTTGTAATTTCTTCTGTATTCCTTTGCTCTCCGTCTTTTTTTTGCTTTATTTCATTTCAATTCAAGAATCTTTGTGACAGAATCAGATTTCAAAAGACATAACCTATAAATCTCAGTTCAACCAAAAAAACAAGCCTGCAAACATTTGTATGCTAGATGTTAATTATGTAAGCTTATAGGGCGTAATAATCGTAATAATAAATTAGCTCATGGCAGCTAGTCCCGTGTTCTGCAGCCAGAGATGCAGTAGGTCTCATAATTAACCAAAGATATATTGACTTATGGTAAATCTGTTACATTTTATATTAAGTTTATTTGTCGCAGAAAAACTCTCTCTTTGTTGAAGCACTAAAACAATATTTTTATGGAAGTTCACTCCCTAGATTACCTTTTTTTCTGTCAAAAGGCCATGTTAGGTCAGGTTGTGATCTCCCCCTGTAGTTTCTGGTTAGGTTAAGTACAGCTCACACTGGATGCTGCTGTTCATTGCCTTCAGTGTCTCCTTTTTATCTCTCTGATATGTGTTCAGAGAGCAAACAGGGATGCATTTGATCTTCACCCCAAGGGGATATGGTTGGGGTCTAGTCAAACGCCTTCTTCTGCCTGCCTCTCACATTGCTTGTCAAAGATATACTGAGGCATACTGAGCACCAGCAACTGTGGACAAATAGACTCAAACATGCAGGACGAAACAATCAGGCCTGTCAGCTTCTGCATGTTATTACATTATATAATGCCTGAGTGGAGGGCTAGGCTGGAGTGCGGTGCTGTTTGATGAAAAATGCATGCTTGAGATTATTTCCCATGATACTTCATTGCAGATATTGGTTATGTTAATAGTATGTTCAAATGGTCATGCGTGCACAGAGTATGTTACTTTTTTATGAGCTCTGTGCACTATGTGCAGTCACAGGAGCAAATATAAATACCCTCATCTTTTGTGCATTTTGCTGTTGCTTCTCTCCTTGTATTTCTTCTTACCTCATTCTGTCACTCACTCTTGTCTTTCTGTTTTCTCTCCCACTCATTTCCGTATTCTCCATTGCCGTTGTCAGATTGGTACAGAGTGGGATGCCAAAGAACGTATGTTCCGAAACTTCGGCAGTCTGATGGGTCCCATGGATGAGACGGTGGGAATGCAGAAGTGGAGTAAGGGTCCTAATGTCACCGTCACCGTCGTGTGGATCGATCCCACCAATGTCATCGCAGCCACTTATGACATTCTGATTGACGCCAGCGCAGAGTTCACCCACTACCGCCCACCGCTCAACCAGCCGCTGCGGCCTGGTGTGTGGAGCGTCCGTATCCTGCACCACTGGAGCCCTGTGGCAGAGATGCACTTCCTTATTGCCCCGTTGGCTTTTAATAAGCACCAGCCCATACGACAAGGTGAGAGAGAGATTCAAATAGCCTCTGTGATTGTCATGACACTTATTTGTATTAGCACATGCCATTTATTTCAGCTTTATCATAACACAAAACAACTATTGATTGCATTATTTGTACAAATAACCTTGCTGGACAGCTGCTGTGCTGATCCTCAGCAACAGATAATCATTCATCACAAAAAGTACTTAAGGTCTCAGTCTAACTGCCAAACACAACACTACATATCTAGATTGGGTTAAAGCCCCGCACTGCATGGGTAAAATCACACTGTGGAATGCAATACGAAGCAGTCCTATAGCTGTATTTTGTATCATTATACTGTCAAGTGTAGTAACAACGTGCATTTTCTCAGTCATTTTGAAGGTCCTTTATTGAGCATTTCTGTTTTATACAACTAAGCATCACTTTAAAGTAACTAAATAACTAGATATAATTTGCTCCTCCCCTCATTCTTTTACTTGAGTATTTACGTTTAATGCTGAATGTCAGATATTGTACATTTTATACACATAATTCACAAAATCTCACATATAGTTTTTTTCATAATGAGATCTGAAAGTTAAAACATAAACGGTAAGTAAAAAAACAACAGCCACTGCAGTGGGACAATACAGCTTGTTTAAGAACAAGTTTCATGAATTTTCTAAAATAAACCATAAGAATAAAAAATAAAAATAAAAAGTCTTAACATAAATTGAGTATTAAACCTTACAAAGGAAGGTATTGTTGTAAGTTATTGCAGAGTGGAAGCCACTGCATGGTCACTAGCATTTAAATAAATAAATAAGTAATAAATCCTTGATGGACAGGCTTATGTGAACTATGAATCCCACCATCTTCCCCCCCCCCTTTATCTACTAAAGATCAGTAGTTCATGTACATGTTGAAAATGAAAATACAGAGCTTGAATACACATATTTGACAGACAATTGGAGTTTAATAAATTGTTAGTATTTGTTAGTTCTTTTCAGTTGATGCCAATATAGTGTCACAGAGTAACATTGCGTTCACTGTGAAGCCACTCTTGCTAATGTTGGTGCTCTAAAATGTCCGCGCACACACACACACACACACAGCCTTGTATTTGCAGTGATGCCCTTTCTAATCAAGCCTCTGGGCCTCTGCAGACCCTGGTTGTTTGTCATCAAGTCACCCTTAATAACCCAGCGAGCTGCTCAGACACACTAAACAGAGTGTTAAACAACAGCACACTTAGCCCTCCAAAAACAATGACACAATTAAATCAATCAGCCAACAGAAATCAGGGGCAAGACTGCATTGTTCTAGTCCGTAAGCAGCCAGTTTGCTCTGAAAGTCACATGAGAGTTGCATAATCGTGCCTTTCTCCGTTTTAATAATCTCACTGGGTCGTTATAATGGTGGAGAGAAAGAGCAAATAAAGTTACAGGTTTTGTGTTATACCTGAATCTCAGTGGGGCTGTGGGGAATCTGTTGTGCGAGTGTGAGTAAATTATGCATCTCTGGTTTATGGCTGTGAAGGTTCATTACACAATTATGTCCTGGCTTTCTAATAATGAATGGATGGAGAAATTTGCCTGGTACTAATTTATATACAGTGTACAGGAATATTCTTGCTACCGCCTCACTTGGCCTGGTATAACAAGTAGCTTATGGTGGCTAATGTTATCAAACTTTAGATAGATGTGAACTGACGTCACTGAGTCAGTTCACTAATTTAATCCCTATGTGCTTCTGTTACACCTCATTTTAGCATTTAACAGATAAATATTTCAATTGTTTTATGACAAAAGTAAGGCATAGCCTTCGTCATAAGAAATAAGTGAAAACTCAATGTTCTGACACTGTAAATGCCACTGGTGGCCTCTGTTCAGCAAGTTATATAGTCATACTTTAAGTACATCACAAAACTTTAGGTAGTTGCCTTGTGTTAAACTGTGTATTAAAATACCTGTCAATCGATTAGGGAGTGCTAGAGGGATTTTAAAGGTTCAGTAGATAACTTTTCTAAAAATAACTTGTTTTCATATTTGCTAAAACTGTCACTATATCCGATAATCTGTGAAAAATATCTGGTTCCTTCCTGAGTCTCTAACGCAGCGTCAATCACTGCTCATCCCCCTCCTCGCGCATGTTCTCACTCATTCAAGCTCAATATCTTCAGCGTGGCTTCAGAAGCTTTGCAAGCACAATGGTTGAGAAACAGCCAGCAGCAATGAAAGAACTGCCTATCCCTCTTTTGCCAACCACAGTGTGTAGCACAAAACACGTGTGCGAACATGTACTGGCTTGTAGGATTTGCATAGTCGAATCAGAATCGTCAAGTCCTGCCTATAGTCGACTGAGTCAAATCATGTGTGTTTTTGTGCGCGGCAATTGCGAGCGGGGGGGCACGGTAGCTCCTCTTTAATCTTGAGAAGCTGCAGAGCTGCAGTCTCTGTTCATTCAACTTGTTCACCGGCCTTGTGTGAGTTATGCGCGCATGCCGTGCTGCCGACAACTATTCGCGTCGCGGTTCCTTGCAGGTTTATTTCAAGTTAAAAACGATATAATATTCTTTGTGTGGTTCATGAACGGTGATATATTATCCAAAAGTCCCGCGAGGTGCGGACAACTCAGCACAACTCAACAGTGAAGCCGGGGTCTCTTCAGCAAGTGTTCCTCTTCCGCCACCACACACACACACTGACGACCCAGGGTTAGGAAGATTCGCAGCGAAACAGGGATATGGGGGTGCTCAACGTCTGATTTTACATAGAACTACCAGTTTTCTCCCAATAAGTTAATATATAGCCTATTACAATATAGAGTTCAACGTTTAATGCTGTAAATAAACATGTAAAAAGAATAAAACTATCAATAAATGTTTTTAAAATGCGTGAATAAATCCAAAATTGTAACCGACTGTGAGATTGACAGTCGAATCAGGCTCCACCCATCGAATCCTTCGACTACTGGGGGTCAGCCCTACTGGCTTCAAATGGAGTTTCCGACACATTATGCTCGATGCAATGGCGCCTATATCGACGAATGGCAAAGAGGCAACATGAAAATAACTTTTCATCCTGCTGTTAGACATTGTTGCAGATGCCTGGGGCGCTCTGTCCTGGCCTTGGAGGGCCATCTTTGAGAACATGACTCTTGCTTTGGCAAGGCTCTCACTGTATTATTATAATGATTAGTCAGCTTTTTTGTGTTTATGTGGTATTTATTGTATGGCTGTGCAATTACTCAAATCTAAATCTCAACTAGAATGGGCATTTCCATAAGAAAATGCGTGTGAGAGCTGTCAACTGTTAGCTGTGACGCCTACTAATGCTGCTGCAAAGTACTGCTCCATCAGAAATTTAAAATCCTTTAGTGCTACCTACTCGTAAAAGAATCACATGCCACAGACTAATTCAGTTAAATATTAAAGCAGAAATCAGCTTTGGACAGCCCTCACATTTGAAGCGCGATAGGTAGTCTTGCTCTGAAGTGTCACACACTTTGGACGCTGCAAAAAATACTTAAAAGTCACTTCCTGTGTCCTATGTGGTGCAAAGGAGCACCCTGTAATGATACGTTATGTCCCAGTACATCATGTTGAGAAAAGTAATTTTAATCGCATAATGGGTGTCAAACAAGGCTTACATCCTGTTGCCAGTGAGGCCAGGTGGAGCTATGACTATAACAGAATTTTGGCATGTAGATGTGTTGGGGGCGGGACCATTATCAATCACATAAAGTTTGGTACAGATGTGAGCATGTACACTTTAGTTGTGACAACTTCCTGTTTTGTGGCAAATCATTGCAATTCCACACCACGGACTGCCCCGGTCCACCAAAACTCACCATTTGTACAACATGTGATTGATGGGATAAGACTGCACAGCAAGAATTTCTGGAAAGTCGCAAGGACAAATTCTCGAGGAGTTTTTTTTAAGTGTGGAGTGTGCAAATCACCAAATATGACAATTAAATCCAAAACGGCCGGCTTCTTGTTGGTTTTTGACCCTCCTGGCGTGTGTTGAAAGTTTTGTAAGTTTTAGGCTGTCAAAAATGAAATAAATTAGCAGAAACATTTTTCAGTCTAGTATTACAGTCAACAAGCCTTGCGCTGGACTTGAACTGTCAACCTTGGCATTGGCAAGGCAAGCGCTTAACCACTGCACTACTGAGACACACTTTTACAATGCTCATTTTAACTTTCTCCATTTGCTCTGGTTTTCATGGACATGAAATGCCTGTGAAGCACCAACAGAGGGCGCTCAATGGCCAAACATTCCTGGCACACCAGTGTCAGGAACGTGACACTTCAGAGCAATACTACCTGTCATGCTTTGCACGCAAGGCTGATTTATAGATAGAGCTATCAACTATTTTAAGTAAACACTGATATCCAGGTAAACATTGATTGCATTTAGAAAGACTAAGATTCAAATTTAAAAACACCACAGCAAGTCATTGGGAACTGAATGCATTTTATGCTTCAAAGCACCAATAGAGGGCAATCTATGACCACAAATGCGTGGCAAAGCACTGTTTTGATTGTGCTTATATTTTCTGTGACGTGTAGTCCAGTTTTGCAAAATAACGTGAAGACACAGAAAACCACTAATCTTATGAAAAACTTATCCTATGTATACAATTACTTCATTTAGAAAGACTAACAATATATACATTTAAAACCGACCACTGCCAGACGGTCTCCACACAGGTGTTTGAAGTTGAAAGTATTTATCAATGCTGCAGGAGGTGGTGTTCGAACTTGGGTCTGAATGAAAAGAGATGGTTGGGAAATCAGCATTTTAATCAAGCAAGCTATAGAGGAACACATCTGAAGAAGCCACAATTTGATCATTTGTAGATGTTACAGTGCATTTGCTTAAAAAAAAAAGCTTTTCAGCTACCATTTTGGTGTTTTAAGTTAGAAGACATCTCATCATTTTTTGTTATCATTAAGTTCAAACACCATTCAGGTGTTTAAAGTTGAAACCAATTATCACTGCAGCCGGCTGCGGGATTCGAATAATAAGAGGTGCTGCTCCATGGCCTACAGTTACAGCTCTCACACTAAATTACAATTTTGGCTTCCAACAATTATAACAAGTTAATCGAGATAAAATGATTATTGTGTCGCATTCCGTTTTGCAATAATGCTCTCATTTTGTCCTGTGTTATAAATCCAGTGCACCCTTTTCCTATACAGCATAGTTCAGTGCAAGCCAAGACGACGGGGGTTATAACTGCTACAACTTGCTAGTCACCATTATTAGCTTAAGCCTATTGTATTTTATGCTGCATAAATTAGCCTAGCAGATAGCAGACATTTGCTCTAGATAGCTTAACTAACTAAATATTATTTATACTTACACTAAACCAGGTGTGTTCAGTGTTGCTTTACCAGGTCCGTGCTTGTAAAATGTCCTCTGTATACGCATCTTTTAACGTAATAACGTTATATAGTTTTCATACTCACCGTTGGTTTATGTCACTGCGTCAACCTAGGGGAAACACTGCATTGCTGTCATCCTCTTGCGCTCTAAGATGCTGTTTAAAGTTAATAATCTTGGATAACAATTCTTAATTTATGAGCTATTTGGGATTTTGGGGTAATGCATAATAATTTTTAAAATGAAGCATTACATTTTAAAGGTTCAGTTAATGCATGATGTTTTCTAAGTCAGTTAGTAATCGTGTTAAATAATTGTGATCTTAACCAAAATAATCGTATTATGATTTTTGCCATAATCGAGCGGCCCTAATTTATAGTCAGTATGTAATAATCTTGTGTGTACTTGGCTTACTGTGTGTGTGTGTGTGTGTGTGTGTTGTAATGTGTGCTCTTGTCTTAGCTGTTCCATCTACCGCCTTACTTTACTGCCATGTCTGGCACCGGGTTTCCCTCTTACATGCAGTGCCAGTAAAACTTTATTACGTGGCCTTTTACCCACATTGGCAGCAGCAGACACATGCATACACACACACACACACACACACACACACACACACATTCACATATTTATACACAAACGCGAAACTCTACACAGATGCATGACTTCACAACACATTCTGCTACCACAAAGAAAGCTGGCATGGGTTGGACATCCCCTTGCCTAGTGCACCACCTCATGTCTGACTGCATCTTTCTGTTACCAGTGCATGAAAAGCGCTGCTGTCTTCTCAGCCATGCTTAGAAAGGATGGCTAGCGCCCCAGTTAGAGGACCAGTGAGGAATTTACAGCTTCACTGGAGCTCAGGGTGGAGAAAGTGTTGTGTCTACGTTTGCTGTCTTCCTGCCGGGCTTGACCGTTTTGGGAAGAAAGAATGAGGGCACGTCTGAGTATTTCTGACCTTTTCCAAAAAGTCAGCATTGCAGTGGCTTGACATACCACATCAAAGAATAGGATTTAGGGAGTCCAGTAAAAATCAATCCAAGCAAATTAGCAGCCAGTTTAAGCTTTTCAGATAATAATAAAGCAGATCACGTTCTCTGCTTTGATATTTCACCATTCATGAATCCCTTTTTTCCTTTTCTCCTTTTCCCTTCAACTCTTTTCCCCTTCTACAATCTCCTCTCTCTGTCTGACCACTGATTATCAACTCTTCACACATCATCTATCTCCTTCTCTGTTCTGTCTGTCTTCCTTCCCACGTTTCTCCAGAGGATACTCTGAAGCTCCACAACGGGCCAGAGAAGAACAGCTACATGGAGCAGAGTTTCCACGGCCTCAACCCGGTGCTCAACATCCCTGTCAGCCTGGGCTACGTGGAGCAGGCCAAGAGGAATGCGGCCCTGACCGGCCCGGAGCTTGAGCGTTGGTTAGACAGCCTAGTGGGCGAGTTGTGGGAGGCAGCCGACGTCTGCGCCGTGGGCCCTACCGCCTGCCCTGTCATGCAGGCCTGCCCCAAGAACCCTTGGAGCTCCCTGAGCCCAGACCCCAAGTCCCAACTGGGAGCACCACGGGCTGACGGTCGTATCAGGTAGCAGCAGAGGCCACGGCACAGGAGATTCACTGTTGATTTTTATTTATTTAAGGGTTTTGTTGCAGGGGGGGGGGAGTGTGTGTGGGGGGGGTGAGGATGTCTGGACAGAATGATTTTCACATCCTCCCACGGGGTTCCTCCTTTTAGGGGATTATGCCGGCTTTGCTATTTCAGTTTCTCAGTGTATTTATTTTTCTTCTCATGGCTGAGTTTTACTGTGATCAAACGTTGCAATTTCTCGAGCATTTATTTTGCTGCTGAATGAATTATGAAGTCAGCTTTTAAAGCCCTGCACGGGGCACAGCGGTCATGTGAGTGAATTGTCAACGCTGGTATTAGATGATGGTCTGCTGCAAAAGGGCCTTAGCTGTAAGACATATATAAGGAGGTACCCCCCTAAATGTGCCTCCTTACATGTATGTCAACATAAACTAGATGATAATAATATCTGAGTGTTCAGATACACTCAGTTACCACCAGTTGAAAAAAGATTCTCAGAAACTTTGAACAACAAAGATTTTAGGATTATTAAAACCAGTTACATCAAAACTCTTGAGTGTCTGATAGTTCACTGACTCAGTTTGTAAATCAGTAGAATAAATCAGTAACAGCAGCACAACTTCTTTCAGTTCAGTGCCTGATCAGGATGTGGAACTGACAAAGACAACTGTGGCTGGGCAAACCATCTGCTGCAGCCACACTGCGTAAATATGGGGAAAGAGAAATGCAAATACAGAGGCCTTCTCAGAGTAATTAAATCTATTTGGATTATAATAGAATTTTAATGTAGACATTTTAGTGTTCTAAATTCATAAATGTATCATTTGTGGTTGTTGTACAATAGTATTTTAAGGCTTAACATTCACATAGTGTAGGTTTTCTTTAATAAAACCCAGATGTCGTGACAGGCAGGGGACAAAGAGAGAATTGTTTTGTCCGTCTTGGTTTTCTTACCAATCTGCCACAAACTTGAAACACAATTATCTCAAGCAGACCTTAAATTCTCATCCGTGTTCTCGCTGTGATGTTTTTTGTTTTGTTTTTTTTACTTTCAGTCATTTCAATGACACTTTATGTTGTACATGGTTATACATGAAGTCTCAAAAACTGTGTGAATGAGGGGGTGAGTCCAGGAGTCGCTATTTATTTCTAAGTTTATATTAATACTGATATTTTTAGTCAGTGACTAAATAACTGCAACGCTGCCTTGGCAGCATGATAAATATTTTTTTGTAAAGAAAGCCGCCTTTATTTACAAAGGCCAACTCCCCATTAATTATGCTGTACCTTTTTATGGCCCCTTACCTGCGTGTTAGTCAGTGTTGTCCTGTCTGAATAGATCTTCTTGTCTTGGTTTCTTACATGGCTGTTTGCCAAGTGCATCACAACAGAAAGCCACCCTGACCTGTGAGGTCAGAGGTGAGCTACCCAACAGCCTTGCCAAACAGAGAAGATGAACAGAAACTCTCTTCACAGCTAAACACATTCGACAACGTCTGGATCGAAGGAGAAACTGTGCGTTTTGGTGTTTAATGGGTCCTGTCAGTTTCAGAATGATCATGAGTGGTAGTGATCTTCATGCTGTGACGATAATGTACAATTTCAAGTGAGTATTATATTGTGTCTTGATTGCAAAATGCATCATTTATTAGATTGGGTCCATGGCACCTTTTTCAACTCTTATCTACATTGGAAGTACCTTTTCTGCCATTAAGACAATCTCTGGACATTTGAGACAACACTGAGGGTAGCACTGTACCCCAACACATACTAAACAAGAGGTACAGTCCGATATTTGTTTTACTTTGAAAAAAGTTTCATCTGAAGCCAATTAGGAGTTCAATCTGTGATTGTCAACATTGTTTAGCCACCATATGCGCTAAGTGAGTGTTTTTGCACAGGCTAATTAAGAGACATTACTGTTCATTAATGTCAAGTTCACCTTGCCTCTCTGTTGGATGTGTCGATTATAATTGCTATCACTCCCTCCCTCTCAAAACACAGTTTCTGGGGTTGTGCTGTAAAGGACTATTTTTGTTTTTCACTGGCCGGCTTCTGCTGCCAACTTTTAAATTACAGTGCCACCGTGCTCAGAGCAGTTACTTCACACGATACATATTATTATGTGAGCTCAATGACAATTTTGGAAAAGGTGAATTAAATAAGTGTAACTCATTGTGGAAGTCCTATTTTGTAACAAAATGATTAACAAATGAAGAAGGTGTACATAGGTATTTTGTATTGAAATATTGTTTAAAAGGTATTGTACATGTAAATACAGAAGTGGTTAAATGACATTGAATTATTAAGAGTTTTTGAAGTGTCAATAACTGGGCACAAAGAGTGAATTGATGGTGTTTATTGATCAAAATACATAACCTGTTTCAGTGTTTTTGGACAGCTGTGACGACAACCGTGTCCTATTTGCCTCAGAGAAAATCACATGCCAGATTGTTGTTGTACTTGCTGGAATGTAATGTTGAGCAACTGTTGCACAAATTTCTCTGAACTGACGTTTCCCCTATTATTTTTTTCCGGGGGGGCTCTGTGTGCCTTAGCTGACTTTTAGAACCTTCTCTGTCCATTAAAAGAAAAAAACTTATTTTGATATTTGATTTGATCTTATGTGAAGAATACCATGAGTTTGTTGAGTGAGTCACTGGTACTGCAACACCAAAAAGATGTCTGCTGTTGTAAATATCATCTGGCCTTCTGTCTTGATCAGCTTTTATTTTGTTCTTCCCTTTGGGGGATTTTGTTTAGTTGTATTTGACTGGCTTGTTTTACTTTTCTCTGACTGCTTTTTGGAAATAAAATTCTATGGAAAAACAGCTCATGTGCTGCTGCAGTGATATACTAGTGAGCAAGTTGTGGTTGATAACAAAACATTAAGCCTGCTGAAGCGTCTTTCCGACATTACTCTGTTGTTGCTTATTAAATACACGTTGCTTTGCAAGTCTAATTAACTGGGTAATACGATGAATTTATACAGTATATTTTTATTCACTCACAGGGATTATTGAACTTTAATTTAAGGGAAGTTCATATAAAACATTAGTGGAAGGATATTAAGTTTGTTTCACATCCTCATGCTTCTCAAAACAATGGTGTTTACAAATTGGGATTTAAAGTATGTATTCAATTACATTACGTTTCCGTCAGGTGGTCACGTTAGCATAACAACTACAATGTGAATGAAAATGTCCAAGTTTCCAGCTTTTTGCAACAAGCCAACAGGTTTAAAATAAACGATGAGAATAAAAACATTTAATAATACATAAATACAATACGATAAATATAAATGAAATAATAAAACATCTCAAAAAGCTTTGCTATTAAATTCAACTCTTGAAAGATGTTGAAAGTCCAATCTCTGTAGGGCTCACAGTTGGGAATCATTGGCTTTAGCCATCACTTCATGCCTTAAGTATTTTCCTCTAACTGAGGTAGTTAAATTGTTAACTGTGGGTACAGCTAGTTGCTCCCATATGTTTTCCATCAAATTAGCTTCAACAGTTCACCTCTCACAAAGACCCTCACCAAACACACACACCATAACACAGCTCTTTAATATGCAGCTACAGGGAAAGTTAAAGCATTCCAAAGGATTGATGACTTCCTATAAACAAAACAATCCAAGTCATACCATACGTGCACCATGCACTATGAAGTGCAGCTCCGCCTGTTCTGCTGAGAAGAAAAGCAGAGATCTGTCAATAGGTAGAGAAACAAATTTTTAGATCACTCTTTATATGTGTGTGTGTGTGTGTGTGTGTGTGTGTGTTCCTCAGTGTCTCTCTACCACGCAGCTTGTTGAGTGTTGAGGTGATAGGCCTAGATCAAAGGAATGCCACAGTGCCAACAGATCCCATTCATTGTCCCATAATACTTGGGACATATAGTACTCGCTTACTCTGCAGCGCATTAAGTGTGTGTGTATGCGTTTCCTCAGCAAGTAAGCAAAAAAGCAGAAAACATTGCGTGCACATTTACATCCTCGTGCGGGTGGGCCGGCTGAGGAGGATGTAAAGGGAAACGTGAGCTGCTGACCTCACCCGCAGCAGGATGAGCGGTACTGTGTTTGTTCGACTGCGATGTGAAACACTGAAAGCTATCCTGCTAATGTCGGGAGCAAATGACTCGGATTAATGGCAGATAAACACTTTGATGATCGTTTTAAGCTTTTCACTGTAGCTCACTGACACACATGCTGCTTGATTAATTAGTACCCCTCAAACTGAGAGATTGTAATAAAAAATAAGCATCTCTCTCACTACTGTAACATGTTCATCTACTCTTGGGGGGGGTCTCACCACTGAATATGTTTGAATTGACAATACAACGAAAAATTTATTTTCTGATAAATAACGTCCCAAGACAACCATGTTAACTGATATTACAGATACACAATATGCAATAGAGATGTGGAAGATAATTGGTTTTACCTACTACACTCTTACCCTTAAGGATCAGTGTTCAAATTCTATTTGTCGTGAATATAAAACTGTTATTTAATTTATATATAACACATATGATTCTTTAATGATAGGTAGGTTTCTTGTCCTATAAAAAAGACCAAAACCAACAATCAATCAGTCCGTTTAACAAGTTTCCCTACATTAAAGCCTAATATAGGCCTATTGTATTCCTCTGGCTCTGTGGTTGTCCAAAAACTATTAAAAACACACCAGTGAGCCACACAGTTGCACTGGCTGACATGTTCCTTTACCACGATAAACTTGGGCACTGTTGTTTATTTTGAGTGCATCCGACATCCACAGTGTCCTGCTGCCGTAAATACTCAGTAATGCACCAAATGTGTATTTATTCACAAATGAAAATAGTCCACACCAAACGCAAACAAATGTACACCTGTTTGAGAAAGGTTTGTGGGAGATGATCAGGCAGGCGAGCTCTGTTTCTTCATTTAAATCTCTATTAAAAAAAACATTGACTGTCAGATTGAAAAGGGAAACGAACAGCTGCCTCAAATCCAATGTTTTGCTGACCCATCCTTCCACCCCGACCTCCTCCTTATGAGGACTTTGTCGTTCTGTAATACCTTCAGCTCACTTCCCGCTTTGCTTTCCATCATGATTACTGTGGACGCTAAAAGGCTTTGTCAACTGTCCTTTTAAAGGCACTGAATGAAATGACTCACACTGTCATTCTTCTGGGGAGGAGAGTCTCATCTTTTGTGGCGCCATCTCCTCACTCTCTTTCCTTAGAAATTCTTCTGTTGCCTCTGATTTTCTCTCCTGCCCTCATGTCTCTGCTGTCTTCTTTAAGTCATAAAGTATAACTGCATCACATGAAGATTTATAAATGTGATAGACAGTTTCATACATAGCATGTGCTCTCTCTCCAATAATATTTACTTAAATCCAATGTAACAAGCAATGGGTTATATTTAAAGTCTCTAGCTCACCATCTAATAGTGAGATACTTGATGATTGATTCCACCTCTCATCCCTCATCCTCTATCTCTGTAGCCTGCAGTTCTGAGATACAGAGCATCAAGATTTTCACATCCCAGCTGGCAAAACAGTTCTGCAGTCAAACCTATTTTTAAACCAAGCCAGCATCCTCACACTAAACTAAATGCAACTTATCAAAAACGTATGACAATTACAATTACCTCTGTATAATTTTCAAGGCCCAAACTAACAAAAAACAATGTTTACTGTAATATTTATTGTAACTGTAAGTGAGCCAACTGCTTCAATGGGAAACTAGCTGACTGTCATTTAAAAGAGACAATGTCTGAAACAGAAAATGTTTTCATGAAAAACTTTTATACAGAGGAAATGTATCAGCAAAACATAAATGGAGCTGAATGTTACAGTGAAACTTATGAGTGTTCTTCAGAAAACAGAGAGGTTTGCAGTGTTCCAATATTACTCTAACTCTAGCACAGATATTGTGCTCTGCTTGATGTCGAAAAGCCACTTTGCTTTTGGAAACAATGAAGACTTTATCAGTGAAGCTTGCAGCCATCTAACCGTGAAGCTCGCAGCCAAGTCAAGTGTCCATCTGGCCACTTTGGCCAGTCGGCCTGCCAACACACAGATGGATGATTTTTGAGTCAGTCACCCGGTAATCCAAACCCAGCACGTACATATCTGACATTATTTTGAAAAGCATGTTAGAGCCACACATCTTTCTGTGTTTCTTTCTTTCTTGCTTTGTCCAAATCTTGGAGCCAAACTTAGTAAAATTACGTATTATGTCTTTCTTTACTTTTTTTCAAATGGTATGCTGCCACTGGCACAAGTACACACACATGCATGCCAATCACAGACTGAGCTTGGGCTGTGTCCTGCTATGTACAGTACTTCAGTTCACCCGAAAGCTGCATATTAATGCTGCCTTGTAAAATAACCAGCCCACTCCCAAATTGAAATGAAACTTACTCCACTGTCATCCACAGCGCAAATCTAAGTAGACAGAACAAATTTACGGAGTGGACGGAACAGATGTAGAGGTGGAAAACTTCTCTAACAGTACATACTGTGTATTTCCCAGTCATATAATTTATTATACGAAAGTGAAACTTCTTGTTACCATATATATATAGTAACAAGAAGTTTCACTTTCATAATTTTAGAAAAATTAACATTTTTCAACTTTATTACAGTTTTACAGGTTTGCATTAACCCTCTGGGTTCTCTCTGGAAGGGAGTATGAGCCATTAACTTACCTTCTGCTCTAAAAATGTGCAGTAATTAGTTTCTACATCCATTATCATACAACATGTGCAATATATTTACTGCCTCACCCTTATTTATACATCACCTGTAAGGGTTTTTTATTCTTGTTTTTAAACCAAATGCACCTTCAGTTGTGGCACTCCCAATTTTAAGTTGTCTGTGCACTGACAATAAATGCATTCTTATCTTATGTTATCTTATCTTATCACAAAACAGTATTCTAGTTTACAGAATGTACAGCATCTGCAGTTATTTAATGTATGAATCTGGTTATTGTGTATATTTTTCTTGTGTTTAACAAATCCCATGAAAAGACCAAAACCAACAATAAGCTGATCCTACTAACAAGTATTGTCTGTGAAGCCAAAGCATTACCACAAACACTGCAACTGTATTTTATTTGTGTGAGTATGTATTGTGTCCGCTGCTAAAAATAGTCCCCAATAAATACAACCTTATAATCTTGTTTGTGTAACATTTAAATGAACAATAAATACAATGTGTTTATTTTCTTGTATTTTAATATTAAAATGGCATTATATTTTCTTCCTGGATTTGTTCACACTATTACACTCTTTAACAATTCACATCAATCGCATCCACCCTAAAGCTTTTAAAGTGACACTGCATTTTTTACTAAACGCCCCCAAAATCTGATTCCTTTTCCTAGGAAACATGATGCATCTGGGATGATGAATTTATTCAGTTTGAAAAATTGGTGACAGCTCAAGGGTAAGCATGTATTCTTTCGCCAGTGATCTTCAGTGACTTTCTTCTTGCGTGTTTGTTATGGTCCAACCCCACTGTTATGCCTTTTTGTACAATTCCTCCTTGCAACATTTTGCAGCACCACTGAAAATGTTGTTTCCTTTTGACTTTTAACAATCTACACTGCTGCCAGTGAAACACTCAAGCTGAGATGAGAACTGATCTGAAACCGCGGGTTGGGGAAACTACCATTTGAAGCCACTTTCACCAGCTACTAAGAGATTTAAAAGAAATGGAAATGGCTAGACTTTGATCACCAGCTGGCTGGTAATGACACTTATCTTTCCTATCTTCTTTCTAGTGAACAGAATAATGACATCATCTTTCAGGGCCAACATGCTCCTGCTGCTCCG